CAGGGGGTAGAGAGGAGGGGAGGAGTGACGAGGGAGGAGGAAGAGTGAGGAAGGGGGAGGCGGGAGGAGGAGGAAGGAGGGAGGATGGAGGAGGGGGAAGGGAGAAGGAAGATGAGGAGGAAAGGATAAGAGTGTTGTTCGTTCCTCTGGCCCTTCTCATCGTCGTCGTGGTCGTTGTCGTCGTCGTCGTCGTCGTGGCATACTCCGCCACCGCGTCTCACGGTACGAAGTGGGGTGCCATCAGGTGCTCCAGAGTCCTCTGTAATCTGCACATGGCGAGTAGACTGGAGTTGCATTTGTCTTCGGACACCGCGGCGCTGTCACTGACGGGAAGAGTGGAATATAGTTTTTCCGCCCGCCCAGGCGTTGCCATGTGGCGAGTGGGACAGGATTGTTTTTTCTTGGGCCCCCGCGGCGCTGACACGCGACAAGGCGCGCATTGCGTTACAGTGCCTTGTGTTGCACTGCGTCGTATTGTATTGCATAGCGCTGCGATACGTTGCATTGCATTGCAGTGCGTTGCATTGCATTGAATTGAACATTTTCCGGCCCCGGCCAGAGTAGCCCTACTAGTGCGCCCCGGCCAGGTTGCAAAAGGCCGGACCAGTAGGCCAAAGTAGCCGTACTCGTATCCCCGCTGGCGCGGATTTTCGAGGATGTCTCGAGCGGGGGCTTCCTCCTCCGATCGCACGGGTAGGCCAGAGTAGCCCCACTATAGTTCGCCCCGGCCAGGCCGCCGGGGCCGTACAAGTACGCCAAAGCAGCCCAACTTGTAGCCCCACTGGGCCAGACTTTCGAAGATGTCTCGAGCGGAGGCCTTCTCCGCCGGTCGTACGAGTAGGCCAGTAGCCCCACTGTTACGCCCCGGCCCCAGAGGCCGTACCAGTAGAAAGTAGCTGTATTCTGGCAGCCCCACCGGGGCGGACTGTCGAGGATGTCACGAGCGGGGGCCCTCCTTCGCCGGTCGTACGAGTAGGCTGAAACAGCCCTACTGGTACGCCTCGGCCAGGCTCCAAAGAACCGTACCAGTAAGCCAAAGTAGCCCCACTTATAACCCTCCAGGGGCGGACCTTTTGCGGATGTCTCGAGCAGGGGCCCTCCCTCGCCGGTCGTACGAGTAGGGCACATGAGTCGCATCCCTGCGCCCAGCACCAGCACGCCATGGTAGCCCTACTTTCGCCACGCCGGACTTTCGAGGCTGCTTCGGGCTGAAACCCTCTCCGCCGGACGCACGACCCAGACATGATCGCGTCGTTTAAAAAAATCAAGACGAGAGGTTATTGGCCATTTTCGGCCCCGGGGGACCCTCGCTGGGCCTCGGGACCGTCAAATTAGCCTGACGAAAAACCCAACCATACGTAGTTGTGAATACCGCAATTGTGGATATATTCCTCGGTGGCGCTCCCTATGGGGCCACGAACCGCATGAAAGGCGTGCCGAAATGTGCGGCGGGGGCACACAACGCGAAGGAAAATTATATTTCTGATTACGAGAGACTGAACGCGGATGAGTCTGAGCGCGAGCGCGTCTGTTTGTGAATGGGATTGCGTGCGAGCGAGTCTATGTTCATGAATGGGAGCATGACCAAGCTCAGTGTAACTTTATATGAATGTGAACGGATTGAGTATAACTGGTTCTGAGTACTTGTGAAATTGACTGTGGCCGCCGCGAAGAGCCCCCCCCCCCCAGAAATGCCAATGGCAGCGCCCGCACGCCGCGACGCCCGTGTCGGCGCGCCCCTCACGAGGATAGCGCCCGCTTTTCTTATTGTCCTGTCTCTTTGCCCGCGCACTCCAAACTCCTAGGCCGCGGGCGCAGCGCAGCGCGGAGTCCCCGCGACGCGCGCAGGTCGCCGCGGAGGGGCCCCAGCGGTGCGCACGGGTCGTCCGCTGCGCGGAGCACAGAGAGCTAGCCGGCTGGCTGATTGCGGGCAAGGCTCCGGCCGCCGGGCAGAGCGACGACGGGCGAGCGATGCGCTGGGCAGAGCGCCGCACGGAATCCCCGCGACGCGCGCTGGTCGCCCGGGAAGGGCCCCAGCGACGCGCGCGGGTCGTCCGCAGCGCGAAGCCAGACAAGTAGTTGGACAGTCGAGAGAAGGCGCGGCTCGGGGGGGGCGCTCCTCAGGTCAGGCCTCGCGGATAAACTCGGTGAAGCCGAGCTCCCTGGCGAGGGCCGTCGCCTCCCTCCTGCACCGCTTCGTGCGCGCCGCAAACTGCTCCAGCTGCTTCCGCAAGCCCTCCGGCGGCCCTGCCAGGAAGAACTCGATGCGCGGCGCCCGCATGAGCAGGAGGTCCTCGTGGCGCGTGGCGCGCCAGAGCAGCACATGGAGCTCCAGCCACCAGTCGTCGTCCTCCTTCTTGCCGTTCCCGACCTCATGGCGGCCGCAGTCCAGGATCACGCCTGGGCGACGTCGGCCGAGGGAGCAGTGCGCCGGGCAGCCGACGGCCCAGGGCGAGAGCCCGCAGGACCGAGGTCTGGCCGCGGACTGCTCGCGCCCCGGAGGTCTGGCCGCCTCCGGAGCGCCGTTCCCGCGCCCCGTCGCCTTCTCGCATGGTGCGCCCCTGGCACGCCACCGTGGCGATGACCCTGCCGTGCGAGAACGGGAAGCCCGTCCGGGTGACCTTGGAGGTGCGGAAGGTGAACGGCTCCGACGCGCGGGGCTCGATGAACACCAGCGGGCCCGCGAGGTCCCTCGCGAGGCTGTCGTCGTGGCGCTGCAGGTCGTCCACGAAGGGCGCGCTCGCGTACTTCTCCATGCGCACCCAGAACCCCAGCGGCAAGCACCTCAGGTAGATATTATTCTCCCCGTCTCTCTCTCTGCTCTCTCGACGTCGTCCCGATCCCGAGGGTCCACGACGATGTGCACGATCTGCCCCTCGGCGTCCTTGACGAGGCCGTTCTTGAGGTCGAGCGCCTCCAGGAGCCAGATCCGCATGCCCACGTGCACCGGGAGCAGTCCGTGCATGCCACCGGTATTCTTCGGGTTGGCACAGTTCATCATCTTGGCGGCGTCCTCGACGTTCATCGTCGGGGCAGACCTGTCGGCCGCCTGCACGAGGAAGAGGGGCTTCTTCAGGACGTCCGCGTCCCGCTGGGCTCGCATGTTCATCCACCGCGCCACTGTGTCCCAGTAGGACCCGATCATGTGGCCGTTCTGGAACCTCTCCTCCCGGAGCCGGCGATCATCGGGTTTCAGCTGCATGGCGTTCCACGTGACCCGGATGGCCGGAGGGACCTGCTTCCCCGGTTTGCGCAGGAACGCCATGAGATCTCGGAGCTTGGTATCCTTGAAGCGGTTGGACGCCTGGAGCTCGAAGCACAGCGGCGTGTTGCAGAAGAGCTTCATCACTGCCTGGTACTCTGGAGCGAGGTTGATGCCCGCCGCCGCCAGTTCCTCGAAGCTGGAGATGTGCGACACCTTGCCTCCCGTCGGCTTCAGCTGCAGGAAGTCCCCCAGGTGGACCACGATGGGCATCCGGCCGAAGGCGCCGCCGACCTGGTCGCACTCCCGCTCCTCCGCGCCCCACTCGGCCTTGCGTCCCAGGTAGGATCGGAACGCCAGCATGTTGTACAGGTTGGGCGAGATCATGCTCACCTCCTCCAGGATCAAGCACCTGACCGCCTCCCACGTGTCCTGCAGCGCTTTCAGCTTGCCCCCCGCGGGTATGTCCTTGTTCCTGAAGGACTGCACTCCTATGACTCCCGCCCGGTGGCAACTGACGGCCTTGTGAGCGCCCGTGGAAATGTTCGCGGCCTGGGACCACTTCGCGCAGACTATCAGCGTGGACGAGTTCGCCTTGCCCGGTTCCACAGGGAACAGCGCGTCCATGGCTGGCAGCACGATATCCTGCACCATGGCGGTCTTGCCGCTGCCGCCCTGGCCCAGGAGCAGGAACTGGAACGTCTTCCGCTTCGCGTCCTTGGCCATGCTGCAGTCCACGATCTTCTGCTCCTCGCCCCACGCCACGTTGCAGGCGTTCGCGAACGCCGTGACGAACAGGGCCTGGTCGGGCTTCAGAGGGCGGCGCTCCTGCTTCCCCGTGCTCGGGTTGACCACGCCGTCCTCGAACTTTTTGACGAGGCGCTTGACGAGGTCGCTGGGCCGCTGCAACTCCTCCGACGGCTCCCACCGCGCCTGCGCCGCCTCGGCCGGCATCGCGCCAGCGCCCGCTGCCCCGACGTCGTCCGGCGCGGGGGCGTCGTCCGCGGGCACGTCCGCGTCCTTCGTGCCCTCCTTGGCGAACCTCTTTCGCTGGGCCTCCACCAGGTTCTTCAGCTCGTCTGCGTCGAGGTCGCGCAAGGCCCTGAACGGAGCGAGGACGTCTTCCTTCAGGGCGCGGGCAGCGCGCCGCGGCGCGTCGGCGTCAGTCGGCCCGGGCAGCGCGCCGTTCTCCATCATCGTGGCGGCCTTCTTGAGCTCCTCCACGAAGGCCTGCGTGCGCTCGGCGGTGTCGAAACGCAAGATCTGCCCGAGCGTCTCGGGGTCGAAGTGATGCTCCAGGACGACGTTGGCGCCCAGCTTCGCGAAGCCGTCCTGGGCGCGGATGCCCCGGGCCTCCACCTGCGCGGCGCCCGCCCCCGAATCCTCGGCGCCCTCCCGGAACACGGGGGCCTCCGCGACCTGCACGTCGTCTTTCTGCGGCCTCTTCGGCTTCGAAGCCTTCGCCTTGGAGACGCCGTCGAAGTTGGCTGCGGTCTTCGTGGTCTCTAGGGCCAGGTACTCCTGCACCGTCAGCATGCTGTCCAGCCAGTTGCCCAACTCCGCGCACTGGGCGCACTGGCACGGAGGCTGCACGTCCTCGTGGCGGTCGCTGCGCTTCTCGCGCAGTGCGGAATCGACCTCCCCCGTGTTCCAGATGCTGGGCGTCGCCCACGACCCGACGTCATTCCTAAGGCACTTCGCCCGGGCCGTCTTCGCCAAATGCTCCTGGGCGGTGGCGGACGACTCCCAGCCGCGCTGGAACGGGCCCGCCACGCCCTCCCCCGCCGGCTGCGCCGGCCACTCCGGCTCGCCCTCCGGCGCCGCGCACATGTGCTCGTACGCGCGGAGGTAGCGCAGCTCCTTCGTGTCGTTGGGGCCGTCGGCGTCCGGCAGGTGCACTGGCCGGAGCAGCACCGACTTCATGAGGCAGTGCGTCTCCACGTTCGACTCCGCGCTCACGAACTGGAAGCCTTCGGCCTTCGGGATGCGCGGCTCGACGGCCAGCCTCTGCGCCCAGTTCCGCGCCGCCGAGTAGGACGAGCCGAAGGCGATGTCGACGTGCAGGGCGCGACCCCCGCTGCCCTCGGGATCCAGCTCCCCGGCCGGAAGGGCATGCAGCGGCAGTTCCACGCGGTACACCCAGATGCTGTAGACGTACAAGCTCATGTCTCGGACAATAGGGTGGTCTCCGCGGTGCATCCAGTCGTCGTGCTGGCTCAGCACTGCGCCCCTGAACTTGCCCTGCGCGAGGCCCTCGACAGTCGGCCCCGGTGTCTCGGGCGCCTCTTCGGCCTCGCCTTCCCGCAACTTGTTCAGCGCCTTCGTCACGTCGCGCAGCGAGCTGCCACTGGCGCTCGCGATCTGGAACGCCTGGTGCGCGTACTCGATCGTGTCGAACTCCTCGCCGTCGGGGCTGACGTACACAGGCTCGCCCTCGCGCTGCACCTGGCGCCACCCTGGCATCGCGACCTGCTGTCCAGTGCCAAGGACCACGTACGTGATCAAGGCGGCGGGTGCGCTTTCCGCGGCGTCGGCCTGGCCATACCGCCTGCGCCAGGGCTCCGCGGCGAGGTAAATGGACTTCCGCATGAACACCTTCCAGCAACGGTGCGTCATGAAGGAAAGGTGCCCGAAGAGCATGGGGAAGACCATCTCGCTGCCGCTCTTCCAGGAGGCCCTGCGGAAGCAGGTCTCGAAGCGGGCCAGCACCTGCAGCGTGCGCTTGAAATATTCCTTGCGCTTTCCTGCGGCGGTCGACTGGGCCTCGTCGCTGGCGCCGCCCGCGGCCTGCGCCTCCCTGTCGTCCCACTGGCTCTTCAGGCGGCGCACGCCGTCGAGGAGCTTGCAGAGCACGTCGTCCATGCTGGGGTTCACCTTCGTGGTGTACGAGTTCACGTAGTAGCTCGTGTTGTGGGCGTCCACGAAGGTGGCCAGCGCGTGCCGCTCCAGGTCGCGTTGGAGATCGGCGCGCGCAGCGTCGCCACCGTCCACGGCGGGGCTGTCGCGGTTCGCGAGCTCCCTGAAGATCTCGTGCCAGTCGGTGACTACGACGAGGTCCCACTTCTCCGCGGACGTGGTGTTCAAATGCTGGAACCATCCCCAGTCCTCCCGGGCGCCCACCGAGAAGTCGGCGTAGCGCTGAGGGTAGAGGCCATGGTTGTAGCTCTTGCGGTCCTCCTCGTTCGCCGGCGGTTCCAGCTCCGACGCATCCATCCACAGACGCGGGGGCAGCACCCGTCTCATGTCCTGAACGTCCACGTTGCACCGCGCCGGGACGACCGCCGCGCACTTCGTCGAGGTCTCACCGGGGTGGAGCTGGAAGGTGACGATGCGCCCGGCCATGCCGTAGTCCGTCTCCCGGAAGATGCCGATGCAGCCGCGCAGAGCCTTCCCGCGCGCGCGGAGCCGGCACTCTTGTGAGTCCCCCCCCTCGGGCCACGTGCACAGCGTCACCAGGTTGTAGAAGTTGTGGCGGCAGATCTGCGAGCCGCGCATCTTGTCGGAATGGTACTTGTAGCAGGAGGGGCTGCAGACGTGGATGCCGAAGCCGATGACGAGCTCGCGCGCGTCGCGGCACATCTCGCGAATCCACTCGTCGCTCGGGAGAGACTCCGCCAGGGTGCCCCCGCCGCGATACCTCGGGAAGATGCCGGAGGCGCTGCTGGAGAGCGGCCGCCGCCAGTACCCCTTGTTCTCCGCGGCCCTCTGCTCTGTCCACGCCGCATCGCCGTCTACGGCCTCGCCGTCGTTGTTGAGCAGCGGTAGATCGGCGCGAATCGCCCTGTGGTAGCCGTCTGCCCTGGGATCGTAGAACCACAGCGCCTCCTCCGTTTCGCCTTCCCTACCGAGCTGCTCTGCCGTCGCCATCTCCGCGCCCCCGTCGGCTCTGAAGTACCGCTTCTCGTTGGGCCCGAAAGGCAGCGGCGGCACCGCGACCCCGCACTTGTTCTCGCCCCCCTGCAGCTGCAGGGGCAGCAGCTCCACGGCGCTCTGCTGGGTGGCGACCACGGCCTGCACCACCTGCCGCATCCACAGGTTCAGGCGCTCCTGGAAGCGCGCCTCGTCGCGCTGCAGCATGTCCAAGAGCACGGGCAGCTGACCCTGCAGCAGCCAGATGAGGATGTGCGGGCGCAGCGAGCCGCGGCCCTGAGCCTCGACCGGACCGAAGGCCGCCGCCAGGGGGCCGAACACCGTGGACACGCCCATGAGGTCGGCCGCCACGCCGTCGGAGATCCAGTGTTCCGAAGCCTATCGAACTTCTCCTCGCCGCCACCCGACGGTCTCCTGGCGCAGGCCGAGGACGTGGACGAAGAACAGCCTCATCATCAGCTCGAACACCACGGCCTGGCCCACGGGGTCCGCGGCGATGCGCTGCGACATCTCGCTGAACGTTACTTGCTCCGCCTCGGTCAGGTCGTTGCCGAAGGAGTACTCCTCCCCCTGCACGATGAGGATCAGGGGCTGCTTGGTGTCTGCCAGATTCGGGGTGACGAACTGGACGGGTGGGCCGAAGCGCAAGGTATATGCCTCGCCCTCTCCACGCAGCTCCCGCCTGTGTCCGTCGGACCCGACTTGGCTGGCGGCGGCCTGGCCAAGGGTGGCGAAGGCCTTCCGCACCTCGTTCGGGGTGTCCTTGTCCTTGAGGATGCCGTGCAGCGTGGCCTTCCCGCCCGTCTGCTGCGCCCTGAGCTGCACCTCCTCGATCATCTCCGGCGCGATGTCCGCGCAGGCGCGAGAGGCCCCGAACGCCCCCGGCGTCTTCATTAAGGTGCAGGTGCTGGTGGTCGTCTCCGTGACTCTCCAAAGGAACACAGCAGGTGCACGTCGTACCAGGAGCTCCGGAAACGACTGATGGGCCTGGCCACGTACTTCTCCTCGTCGCCAGGCACGTCGTACTCCATCTCCTCCCGCGTGAGAAGATTCTTGATGAAGTGCGCCACGCTGAAGCAGAGCCGACCCTCCTTCTGCTTCTGCGGATCCTCGTCTCCGTCCGGGGGGAGCTGGCCGAGGCCCCAGGCGCAGCCTCCGTAGCAGAAGTCCGTGGGCCTGGAAACGGACCAGTACTTCGGATTCCACCAGCTCTCCGCCTTCCTCGAAATGGGCACCCGAAGCCTCGCCTTCCGCTGGCCGTCGGGACCGGGCGGCCCCTGCAAGGAGCGCGGGTCGTCCTCGGCGGGAGCCCCCGCGACTCCTGCAGGTCGCGCCAGGTCGCCCGCGCCCTCCTCCGCCTGGCAGTTGTTCGTCCCCAGCGCCCGGACGCCCCAGCGCAGCTTCGCCATGTCCTCCCCGGGGGAGATCTTCCGACAGCGCGCGTGGAACTCCTGGCAGAGGTCCCACAGGCGGTGACGCCCGATCTGGTCCAGCGGCAGCGCCCTATCCTCGCCCCCCTGTTCCTCGAGCCTGGACATCAACTCGTAGGCCACCACGCGCCCCGCCTGGCTCTCCATCCTCTCGAGCACGCCCTGGAGCGCCGGCAGGGACGTGAGCTCGCTGACGTCGTCCATGTGGTCCTCAAGGACGGACAGCCACTTGGTCAGCTCCTGCGCGTCCTCGGCGGCCGCGCTCATCTCTGCCTGCGCGCCAGTGGTGGCCGAGGCGGGCCCCTGCGCCTGCGCGACGTCGTCCAACGCCGCGTCCGTGGGGACATACTTCGCGCAGGCCAGCACGAAGTCGGGCACGTCCGGCTGCGGGGGGAACCGGTCCACGAGGTCCGATCGGCACTGCACGCCCGGGTCATTGTACACGTAGTTGCGCTGCTTCAACAACCGCGCCTGGGCGTCGCACTCCGCCTTGTCGACGTGCAGCGCCACCTCCTCCCTCATAGCTCTCAAGGCCCTCTCCTGCTTCTGCTCCTCGGTCAGGGGGATACCCTCCTCGTCGTCGTCGGCGCCCGCGAACACGGCCACGAACGTGTCCCTGAACATGTCGGGCTCCGGCGGGAAGCTCCGCGTCGCGTGGCCCACGTTTCCGTTCCCGAACACGATGGCGGTGCCCTGCATGGCGTACTGCAAGAACTTCTGCCTCCAGGACTGCTGCTCCTGCCGGACGGCCTTGTCGGCGCCCTTGCTGGACAGGTAGATCTTCGTGGACACGACGCGGCCGAGCGCGAGCAGCATCTGGTGCGCGAGAGCGGCCTCCCTGAGCAGTGGGTGGCGGCGGCCCAGCCAGAGGTCGCTAACCAGCGCCATCAGCGGCACCTCGGGGTGATCAGACCACAGGTCTCTCCGGCAATCGTCGCGCACTTTCACTGGCACCTTCCCTTCGAGCGCCTCAGGCGCCACGCGCCTCCTGTGCAGGAGTATCTTCGTGGACTTCGGCGAGCCCTCGCAGTCGTTGCGGGGGAAGTCCACGGCCGACGACATCAGCTCGTCGCGCGGTATGAGGGGCCATCGTTGGCGATGCCACTCGGCCGACAGGCAGTCCGCGAACTGGGCCCGGTTCTTTATGGTGCACTTGTCGCCGACGAGGTACTCCGAGTGCAGGTTCTCGGACCACTGCTGCATGGCGCAGCAGACGCAGGCCTGGAAAGCGCGGGGCTCCCTCGCCTGACACGCCGCCTGAGCGCGGGATGCCGACTCCGCCGCTCCGGCCGCCTGCAGGGAGATCTCCTCCGCGGGCCCCCCCTGACCGATCTTGCCGATGATCCTGCCGACGATCTCCGCGTGGAGCAGCTGCTTCTGCACCTCCAGTTCGGGCTTCGGGACGAACGGCTCGCCCACGGGGTCGACGGTGGCGCGGCACTGGGAAATGCGGAACCTGGCAACCACCTGCAGCGATGGCGGGGAGCACCGCCCGACCCCAGCGCTCTCGATGCCCTTATCGCTGGCGCTGGGAGCGCCAGCGCTAAGGGCACGTCACCGGGGGCTGGGCGCAGTTCCCCGCCGCCCGCTCACCTGGCGCTCCTCGGTCGGCGACGGCTGGGAGGGCTCCAGCTCGCACCGCGCCACGTACTGCGACTGGTACCACCGCTGCCCCCCGTGGACTCTGCCCTGGTGCGCCTTGAACGCCTCCCTGTTGGGGAACTCGGCCCCGCACATGCGGCAGGCATAATGCAGCGCAGGCGCGGGGCACTGGAACCACTCAGAGCGATCCCGAAGGCGCGCAGGCATGGCCGAGTGCCGGGGCGGGCCGCGGTTGCAGGGTCTGCGCTGCCACGCATCGGCCAGGTGCGCCCTCAGCGGGTTGCCATCGTCCTGCGCGCCCGGCCCGTCGCCCACCGCCAAGCGGACCGCGGCCGCCACGGAGTGGGCGCTGTGGGCGGAGTTCAGACGCTCGTCCAGGAGCTCCGCGACATGGTGCATGAGCCACTCCCCGCTCTCCGGTCGGCGCTTGGCGTCGGAGATCTCGTTCTCCGTGACCCCGAGCGCCTCCCGCAGCCTGCCAGCCAACTTGTCAAGCCGATCGGGGGCGCGCAGGAACGTCGCCCATCGGTTGGCGCAGTCGTCGCCCGCGTAGACGAAGAAGTCCGGGCAGTGCTTAAGGAGGTCGTCGGTGGCGGCCAGCGGCTCCAGGAGGTGCAAGAGCAAGAACAGGTCGCCGCACTCCCGGCGCGCGTCGCACGCCGCCTGCAAGCCCTTCGCCTCCCTGCTGCGGAGGACCAGGGCGGCGGCGTTGTTCTGGGCGTCCTGCCAAGACCCGTCGGCGTTGTCTCCCTTGCTCTTCGGCCTCTGCCCCTGCCGGAGCACCTCCTCCGGCTTGCAACCGCGCTTCTGGTCCTGCCGACCGCCCCGGTTCTGCTGCCTCCCAGCGCGGCTCTGCTGCCTCTCCTGCTGCCTCCCAGCGCGGCTCTGCTGCCTCTCCTGCTGCCTCACGGCGCGGCTCTGCTGCCTCCCGGCGCGGCTCTGCTGCCTCCCAGCCACGCTCTGCTTCCCTCGGAGGCGGAGCCGCTTCGTGGGAGGGGCGCCGCTCCTCGCTGACGCCGCGGGCCGCTTCCGCGCGCCCAGCCCGCCAACGTCGCCGGCCCCGCCACCCTCGTCCATGTCGGACGCTCCGCCGAGGCCAGGCCTGTCCTCGCCGTCCGCGTCGCCGTCGCCGTCGCCGCCCGCGCCCTCCGCGCCGTCGACGACCGGCCCGGGCGGCCACGGGCACGCCTCGGCGCGGGCCGCCCTGGAGTCCACCTTCTCAAGGAAGATCACGCAAGGTATCTTGTGCTCGGTGCCAGGCGCCCACTGGACCACGCGCGGCCGATCGCCCAGGTCGTCTGCAGTGCACCAGCCCCCGTCCTCCTCGAAGTGGGCCACGAAATGGCCGTGGGGGTCATTCAGGACGTGGGATGGGACGGCTTCCGATCCCTCGGGCTGGATGTACTGCACGTAGGCGCGCAGGCGGTATGCGACGTCTTCCCCCCCCGCCCTCGGAGCCACCTCCGGGAGCTCGCCCCCTATAGGGCGCGATGTCGCAGCCGCCGAGGTAGAGCGCCGCGCCGTCGCCGTGCTCCCACTTCTGGGGCACGTGGACCGCCAGCAATTCAGGCTTCGATCGCAGTCGCCCGCCCATGGAGGCGCCGCGGCGGAGCAGCTCTCGCATATCCAATCTCTGCGCGCCCCCATCGAGGAAGAAGTCCTGCGGCGACAGGGCGCCGTCGCCGTCGTCTGCCCCGCCCACGAAGGCCGGGAGCCCCATCGCGACCTCCTCGTCGTATCCGGTCTGGAAGAGGCTGGCGAGACCAGGCGCGTCTTCCAGGATGAACGACAGCGCCTCGCCCGCGTCCGCGTACCTCCCCAGCTTGAAGAGAAACAGCTTCGCGAGGAACGCGTCCACGAAGGCGCGCGGGGACCAGCGGTCCACGCGGACTGGCGCTGGCGCGGCGCCGCCGACGTCCTCCGCGGGCGGCGGCACCCCGCGCACGCAGGCGGTCGCCAGGGCGCGCAGCTCCGCGCGAAGGGGGCGCGAAACCCAAGCCGACTGCCCCCCGCCCCCCGCCCCCCCAATCCACGCGCCAATCGCCCCCCCTCCCCTGCGGAGGGAAGAAAGCCAAAGTCAACAAGGTGCCGTGCTGGAGCTAAGCTATCGACGAGATTTCCCCCACCCCGCATCCTGCGCGACCAGCGGCTCGCCCTCGCCCTCCGCCCCCAGGAGCGCGGCGCGCGCGGCGGGGCAGTGGAGGAGGCACTGCAGGGGCGCGTTCAGGTAGCAGGTGTTGCATAGGTTCGAGAGGCCCGGGTATGGGCGCTGGCCGCCGCGAGGCCGATGCAGGGCAGGCTGCCTCCAACGGTCCTCGTCGTGGACGTCGTTCCCCTCGCACCACTCCTCATGCTGCATCAGCAGCGCCTGCTCTGCGCGCGCAGCGCGACGGTCATCCTGCTGCGCTGCCTCCGACTGCGCCACCAGCGCCTCGATGCGCATATTCAAGCCCCGAGCGGCGGGCGTCAACCGAGTGGACCGCCTCGCCCTGCCCCACCGTCGCGCAAGGTCATTCTCTTCTGGCCCAACTCTCGTGCGAAGCGGCATGCGGCCGTGCTGCTGGTGAAAAGCCAACGCGTCGTGGAAGGCACTGGCAGCTCGATCCTGGCGGCCCCCCGCTGTCCGGGGAGTTGGCCGTCGGCTGCGCGCTGACCCGGGGGCCCCTCGGCCGCGCGCGCCCGAGGAGGGGGCGCCCGGCGTCTGAAGGCGCGCCTTCGAGGGGGCCCCTGGCGTCTCGGGCAAGTGCGGCGACGCCGCACGCTTCCCCGTCATCCTTCGCCGAGGTTGGCCCTCCCGCTGGCGCTGCGGTGTCTGTGGGCCGCCCTCCAGGACCTGCGCGGGCTCCTGTTTCAGGCGATGGAGCTCCGCGTGCCGATCTGGGGCGCGCTCGATCCGCCCCCGGCCCGCCGCGGCCGCGTGCTCGGTGTCCCGCAGGGGCCCATGCAAATATGATCCTTGGCTCGATATCAGGCGGACTTGGAACTTCGGGCCCGCGGCGCGTGTCTTCTGGACTACTCCGACCCTGCATTGGGCCCCGCTCCCCTTCGGGGGCATCTGCGCGGCGCCCCCGCAGCGCGCCGCCGGGGCCCCGCTGCCAGGAATCCCCCCGACTCGCGCCCGTCGTCCCGGGCGGGGAATCCGGGCGACGAGCGGGGGTAGTCCGCGGCGGGTCGCGCCCGGCGCGCGCCCGCGGGCCAACGGCGCCAGCTCGAGCCGCCGCAATGGCAATGCGCGCGGGCAGGACGGGGGAGAACGAACGCAGCTCGAAGGGCGCAGTGGCGGAGTGGCGGACGGAAGCCCAAGACGCCCCACTATGGGTTCCAATGTACCCCAAGATGGCCCAGGGGAGCAAGACACCGCTTCGGTTGGCCCCAGGTGTCGGACGGCCTCAAGGACGCCCAAGATGCCTCAACCAGCAATCCGATGCACCCCAAGATGGCCCCGGCGAGCAAGATGCCGCTGGTCCCGCATAAGCCCCATGAAACCTGCGTGACCGAATTTGCGCTTCGGAGCTCAAGGCTATAAACAATGGGTCTGGCCCCAGGTGTCGGGCGGCCTCAAGGACGCCCAAGACGCCCCATTTTGGACTCCTGTGTAACCCAAGATGGCCCCGGCGAGCAAGAGGCAGCTGGTCCCGCATAAGCCCCATGAAACCTGCGTGACCGAATTTGCGTTTCGGAGCTCAGGGCTATAAACAATGGGTCTGGCCCCAGGTGTCGGGCGGCCTCAAGGATGCCCAAGACGCCCAAAAAAGGACTCCAACGTGACCCAACATGGCCCCGGCGAGCAAGATGCCGCCAGTCCCGCATAAGCCCCCATGAAACCTGCGCGACCGAACTTTCGTTTCGGAGCTCAGGGCTATAAACAATGGGTCTGGCCCCAGGTGTCGGGCGGCCTCAAGGACGCCCAAGACGCCCCCAAAAGGACTCCAATGTATCCCAAGATGGCCCTGGCGAGCAAGATGCCGCTGGTCCGGCATAAGCCCCATGAAACCTGCGTGACCGAATTTGCGCTTCGGAGCTCAAGGCTATAAACAATGGGTGTGGCAGCAGGTGTCGGGCGGCCTCAAGGACGCCCAAGACGCCTAAAAAAGGACTCCAATGTAACCCAAGATGGCCCCGGCGAGCAAGATGCCACTGGCCCCGCATAAGCCCATGGAACCTGCATGACCGAAGTTGCGTTTCGGAGCTCAGTGCTATAAATAACGAGTCTGGCACCAGGTGTCGGGCGGCCTCAAGGACGCCCAAGACGCCCAAAAAAAGACTCCAATGTAACCCAAGATGGCCCCGGCGAGCAAGATGCCGCTGGTCCCGCATAAGCCCCATGAAACCTGCGTGACCGAATTTGCGCTTCGGAGCTCAAGCTATAAACAATGGGTCTGGCCCCAGGTGTCGGGCGGCCTCAAGGACGCCCAAGACGCCCAAAAAAGGACTCCAATGTAATTCAAGATTGCCCCGGCGAGCAAGATGCCGCTGGTCCCGCATAAGCCCCATGAAACCTGCGTGACCGAATTTGCGTTTCGGAGCTCAGGGCTATAAACAATGGGTCTGGCTCAAGGTGTCGGGCCGCCTCAAAGACGCCCAAGCCGCCCAAGAAAGGACTCCAATGTAACCCAAGATGGCCCCGGCGAGCAAGATGCCGCTGGTCCCGCATAAGCCCAATGAAGCCTGCGTGACCGAATGTGCGCTTCGGAGTTCAAGGCTATAAACAATGAGTCTGGCACCAGGTGTCGGGCGGCCTCAAGGACGCCCAAGACGCTCAAAAATGAACTCCAATGTAACCCTAGATGGCCCCAGCAAGCACGATGCCGCTAGTCCCGCATAAGCCCCATGAAACCTGCGTGACCGAATTTGCGTTTCGGAGCTCAGGGCTAGAAACAATGGGTCTGGCTCCAGGTGTCGGGCGGCCTCAAGGACGCCCAAGACGCCCAAAAAAGGACTCCAATGTAATTCAAGATTGCCCCGGCGAGCAAGATGCCGCTGGTCCCGCATAAGCCCCATGAAACCTGCGTGACCGAATTTGCGTTTCGGAGTTCAGGGCTAGAAACAATAGGTCTGGTTCCAGGTGTCGGGCGGCCTCAAGGACGCCCAAGACGCCCCAAACAAAACTCCAATGTATCCTAAGATGGCCCCGGCGAGCAAGATGCCGCTGGTCCCGCATAAGCCCAATGAAACCTGCGTGACCGTTTCGGAGCTCAGGGCTATAAACAATGGGTCTGGCCCCAGGTGTCGGGCGGCCTCAAGGACGCCCAAGACGCCCAAAAAAAGACTCCCATGTAACCCAAGATGGCCCAAGATGGCCTCAGGACCGCCCAAGAGGCCTGCAAGACGGCCCAACAGACCTCCAAGGGAGCCTCCAGCAATGCCCGAAGAAGCCTAAATCATAGATTCTCATAAAACTGTTGAACCATTTACACATTCTCGCCTTTGATTTCGCTGACCGTGGGCGCCTTGTGTTTTGTGCCGCTGCTATTAAAAAGCCGCATATATGGTGCTACTTCGGCGTGCGTCTTTGGGCTGCGCCCGAAGCACATTTCCGAAAAACTGCAACTTGTGATTTTCATGCCGACGTCTCGGCGTTTTCCTTGATCTGGCGCGCCTAACGCCGAAGGCCATACCTCCTGTTTTTCGGGCCGGGCTAAAACACGGGAAGTAACACCAGCTGCGGCCGGCGCGAAAGACCCAAGAAAACGCAGAGACGTTTGCATGAACATTCGAACGTTTCGTTTTCGGAAAAATGAGCCTTGGGACCAGCCCGAAAGCCCTCTGCCTCCTTCCTCTTCCTCCTCCTGCCCAACGAGCCCCAGAAAACCATTTCAAAATGTTGCGATGGTCCTCTCCCTCTACGCAATCGAAAAAAAACTTACGAACTTCCATCAACTCCCGTACAATATTCCCACTGGCCAACGTGCAACCGTCCCAAAACGCGGGCGCAAAGCGGGCGCTCCAATGAGGGCAAAACACCATGTCAAAAATTTCGCGATGGTCCTGTCCTTCTACGCCACCGACCTACGTGCGACCGTCCGAAAGCGTCTGCGCAAGGCAAACGTCCCAACGAGCCCCAGAAAACCATTTCAAAATTTTGCGATGGTCTTGTCCTTCTACGCACCCGAAAAACTCACCATGAACTTCCATCCGCTCCAGCGGGCCCAAGCCAGCCCCAAGATGGCCCAAGATGGTCTCAGGACCGCCCAAGAGGCCTCCTTGGTCCTCCTTCCTGCTCCTCCTGCTCCTGCTCCTCCTCCTCCTCCTCCTCCTCCTCCTCCTCCTCCTCCTGCCCTCCTCCTCTCCTCCTCCTCCTCCTCCTCCTCCTCCTCCTCCTCCTCCTCCTCCTCCTCCTCCTCCTCCTCCTCCTCCTCCTCCTCCTCCTCCTCCTCCTCCTCCTCCTCCTCCTCCTCCTCCTCCTCCTCCTCCTCCTCCTCCTCCTCCTCCTCCTCCTCCTCCTCCTCCTCCTCCTCCTCCTCCTCCTCCTCCTCCTCCTCCTCCTCCTCCTCCTCCTCCCTCCCTATGGGACCACGAAACGTGTGAGGGGTGTGCCAAAATGGGGCGGCGGCGCCATGCGAGTTGCGCCACTTGGACCTGAGATGGAGCTCCCTGTGGGGCCACGGAACGTGTGAGGGGTGTGCCAAAATGGGGCGGCGGCGCCATGCGCACTGCGCCACGGGGACCTTAGGTGGAGCTCCCTATGGGGCCACGAAACGTGTGAGGGGTGTGCCGAAATGGGGCGGCGCCGCCTATGGGGCCACGAAACGTGTGAGGGGTGTGCCGAAATTGGGGGTGGAACCGCATGCGAGCGCAGCCACTGGGGCCTTCGGTGGAGCTCCCTATGGGGCCACGAAACGTGTGAGGGGTGTGCCAGAATTGGGGGTGGAACCGCATGCGAGCGCAGCCACTGGGGCCTTCGGTGGAGCTCCCTAT